GCGCATGCAGTCAGCTTCAGTGTACTAAGCAGAACACATCTGGATCTCATCACTGGACAAACAACATGGATCTTCGTGCTCACGTCCCTCACTGTTCATTTAAAACTATGAGATACGTGCGTATTGACAGCGCGTCCTTTTACCTGCCATGATCACAAAGCCTGCTAGAACTTCAGGAGCAGATGTTTTTCTGTTCTATCCGTCTTCATCAGCGTATTGCAGGCTGCAGCGCAGGAAGTTGTGCAACTACTTTGAGGATGTGGGTGCGCGCGTCCCGCCCCGTGTCTGTCCCTGCAACATGCCTCCTCTCAGCCAGGACACCAGCTGTTTGAAACGGGGGTCAGGATTGGCCGAATAGCTTGTGTGGCTAATCACAGCTGTTATTTAACACAAACACCTTTTTGTTTTGAGAAATGCAGCAGATGGGGGGAGTTGATGGAGATGTTAGATGTAGACACTGATTTTCTTTAATTTCTATGGGAAATATTTATTATTGTTGGTGGAACAGTGATTAGCACTGTCACTTCACATCAAGGTACCTGGTTTGAACCTTGTGGCTGATCAGTACATTTGTACTGAGTTTGCATGTTCTCCCTGTGTGGGTTCTCTCCAGGTACTCCAGCTTCCTCCCACAGTCCAAAGACATGCAGCTTAGGTTGACTGGTGACTAAATTGCCCGTAGGAGTTAATGTGAGTGTGTGTGGTTGTTTGTCTAAGTGTCAGCCCTGTGATAGATTGGCAACCTTTCCAGGGTGGACCCCACCTCTCACCCAGATGGGACTGGCCCTAGCCCCCCCACGACCCTGCTCAGGATAAGTGGTATAGATAATGGATGGATGGACCTTACATCTGCACCTATTAGGTGTAGACTATTAAACATTAATACCATTCCAAGTTTTGCATTCAAAGTTCTACTTTTGTAATAAAGTATTGTTAGGTTATTTTTTAGTTAGATAGATATTCAGAGATTTGTTGTCTATGAATGTTTAGTGCAGACTGCAGGCACGTCAAGGTTACAGGAAAACTGCTGTTAGTGTCAACTGTAATGCTAGTCTTAATATTTGTCTTAATGTGTAAGGTTATGTCCAATTGTTTTAGATACACACCACGAAAACAACAGTCACGCACCTTGACTTTTCCTCATGTTTTGGCTAAACGTTATGGCAGCTGCAAGGCTTGCTTATCAGGTGACGTCACGGTTCGACAGCCCAGAAAGGATTAATATTGTATAGCAATGCTTGGTTCGGGGTCTTGCTGCTTCCGGGCTGCTTGGGCAGCCTGGGGTTGGAAGATCTCTGGACTTGGAGTGTGAATTCTTGCCTGTGACTTTTTGAATAAACCAGCACGGATATATTTTTTATATACTCAAGTGGTCTGAGTCGTCCCTCTGAGTTCCTGGTTTGAAAGAACCGGATGAGGCTTTATAATGGTTTTTAGCCTTTAGTATCAACAGTACAAGTACTCATTGTGTAGAATGGCTTCACTTCAGTGTTAATACATATAAATATCATTGGAACATTCCATGTATAGCTGGTGTAACTATTTATATACAGTTCTCTCTAATGAGAACGCTGTAAATTAGACACAAATATACATTTAGAAATATGTCTTTATTAGCACAAGAAGTTAAAAACAGTTAATAGTGCTCACACACTGTGGAGAACTGTACACACAGCAAGGGCCCTAATTTCTCTTTATTTCCTAATTTCACAGCATCACCTAATGGACAAAACGTGGAACTGCAGCTGTGAGGAGCAGGTCTGACTCTTCATCAGCTCAGTGAGTCCTACTGTCCTCCGCTACAGCTCATATACTCTTTACAACTACTGCAGAAGCTGACAGTCACTGAGGAACATTGACACAGTTAGTGACTGGCTGGAATCAATCACTAACGTGCCCTTCACACAGTCTGTGCCACTGTTTTATTATGTTAACACAGGCACATGTTCATTTTCACTGAAGCTAAGTCTAGTCTGCTCTTCAGAACACTGACAGGGCCAGTTCACACAAAACAAAACAGATTTTTTTGGGTCTCTTGTGGTATCTAACCATGCAGATATTGTTTTCTTTTGTCCAGGTTTTCAGATATTTATATCCAGACTAAAACAGTGGAGGTAAATTAATATATTTAATATACATGTGTGATGCATCCCAGCATAGAAGAATGACATTTGACAAACCCTTCACCAGCTTGTTTCTCTAGAGACAGTTTCATGGTTTATCAGATCAGCTACAGATAGGCCTGACCACAATGCAGTGGAGCCATATTCTACTGGATGAAATAGTCCCTAGGAAAGCCGCTGACAGGTACGTCTGTGAATCATACTGAGTACCGGGAGATAGTTTCTGGAAATGCACACTACTATGTATTCTTTAGATGACATTTTTCAATGCTATGAGGAGTACAAACACATTTTCACCAACCTCAACTGTGCTTAAGGTTGAGAAGGTGACATCTCAAACTGAAGCCACCTGCAGGGGTGGATACCACTAGAGATAAGACACAACATAAGTCTCTGTCTTTTGGGTGAAGTGACCCTTTAACATGAAGTGCCATTATCATTTTGTTTATTTTACTCATGTGCTCAGTTTGCAATTCTTTAAATTCAAAGTTCATTCTGATGAGGCTGTTTTCTCAACACCATGTTTTTTTTTGTTATGTCCACTCAGTTTCAATTAATGCACAAGCAAATCAACTCTGCAATGGCAGGTTTTCATGTTTAAAGGGTTACTCTGACATTCTGAGAAATTTGCATTCTTGACAAGAGTCCGTTGACAAGATTGATGCCACTCTCATACCTGTCCATATATAAAGCTATAGGGCCAGGAGACAGTTTGCTTTGCAGCTGCTTCCAATAGTTTCCACTCATTGTGCCAGGCTAAGGTAATAATCTCAAATGTCTCTTAAAATGTCAAACTACTTCTTTAAAGGATGAGGCTGGTCATTTTCTACATTAACTCTATTTTCAGCAGTCCTCATACAGAGACTAAAACCAACGTTTTGCCGTTACTCGCTGTTAATGTTATCAGTCAGTCAGAACTGGATTATCTTGTTTATCTGTGTCATAGACCTCCATTGTTGATCAAAAACAATTTAAAAACACATCAGACAAACACCCTGGGTGATACGTTTCCTCATTACGAAACACCAGACCCTGATTATTTCTTTTAAATGTTGCCCCAAAGGCTCAAGATGGCCATAACGTTTTACAACATCTGAAGTAAGCAAGAGTCAACTTAAATATCAGGGTCTGGTGTTTTGTAATGAGGAAATATGTCACCCAATGCAGCAGTACGTTTCCCTGATGTGTTTTTAATCATTCTTGAACAACAGCGGAGGTCTATGGCACAGATGAATAAGATCACCCAGGACTGACACACTAACGGACATTAACGGTGAGTAGAGGCCCATCATTGTTAGTTTTAGTCGCTGTATGGGGAGTGAGGAATATGCAGTTAATACAATAAATGACTGGCCTTATCCTTTAAGCCAGTATAGTATATCAGAGTAGACTTAGTGGAGGAGACTGATGGATTCCTGAGATACGATACTGTACAGTAAACCCTTCAAATGCTACTGCTCAGGATTACACATTACTGATCCAAATGGATGGCCTATGCATGCATTTATATGAAAACACTGGCTAAGTCAAAGTATAGCATTAAAAAGACAAAAATAATCAGTGCAATTAATGATTATGATCATAAGAATAATAATCCCTTAAAACCATCCCTGTAATTTTCCCTTTTGTGTTGATTACTAATAGAAATATTCTCTGGTTAATTACCTGTGAAGTCAGTGACTGGATAACATAAAATAAAATCCCTGGATGACAAAATACACAAGATTTGATTCTTAAAAACAAAACAATAACAAAACATTTCATACATAATGCTAAACCAGTAATGGAACATTTAAACGATATTGTATTTGTTGAGACAGGTTATTTAACATCCAAATTTTGCTAGACTGATAAAAGGCACCAATATTAACCTCTTATCAAAAGTTGTATTTAAAAAAATTACATGTTTATTATGGTATTGTCCACTAATACACTGACCGTCCTTTGTAAAAAATAATAATAACAATAATAACCTAACCTGATTCTGATGAGACATTCTGGTCAGTTTTTTTTTCCACATGCATGATATCAGTTTGTCACTACCAGCATCATATATTTAGCGTCCCATTATGGTGATTTTGTTTCAGAGGCTTGACCACCGTGATGAGACCAGTATTCTTCTAACTCTGTCTCTGGCATAAAATTGGCCACCGACATATTAAATCTGTAAAAATATTGTTTTATATTGGCTTTTCATACTGTACACATGGAGTCTACAATATGCCACTAGATGAATAATACAAAAGCCATTGTCAAATAATCAATTAATAAAATTAGCATTTAAATTATGCATTATTAAACTCAAACGATACGATATATATTTTTTCTATTCTGTTTTTTTAATGTCTCATTGAATAATGAATAATTCATTTTCAAAATGAAAATAAATTGGCTTTTAAATTGGTTTTTAAATTTTACTTCATTACTTTGTACGTCCATGCCTGCATACTGTAAAAAGAATGAATTGTATTCCATCAAAATTTTCATTTTCTGTTACATTCAGTTTTAATCAATCAATTAATTTAAACTAAACTAAACTAAAAGTTTAACCTGAGGCGCAGAGTGAGCTACTCTGTCTGGCCGGAGTGTGGCCAATCAGAGCTCCGTCTGTGGTGGTGAAGCTTGGACTGTGGATCTACTGTTTAGGTAACACACTGCTCACACATCTACAACGATTCAATAGCGAAGAGTTGTTAAATTATATTTGTCAAAACGCTCAATTTTAAATTGGAAAACTAATCACTTGCATGATGGAATTTGAAAGGCAAACATAAATTAATGGCATAAAAAGTTCAATTTGAATGCTTTCTAAATTTGTGTAACTAAATTTTTAAATTCTATTTCAGCATTTAAAGTCACAATAGAAAGATGAATTGGCAAATTTAATGATGGCATTTATTTTTTTTACATTGAACTTATCAATACAACTTTTATGTCCTAATTTGATTTATCAATTTGTGACAGCTTTTAAAATGTACCAATTTATTTACCGATTAAACTGGAGCACTGAGAGTTGCTACTCCAGTCTCCACACTAGGTAAGCTCTGGATAAAACACTGTTTTTAAACAGCATTTAATGAGTAAACCAGGACATAAAGTCAAAAACGTGGCAGGTTAGGCTTCAGTGGAAGTGCTTTTGAACACCAGAGAAAGCCTTCGATGTATATCAACCTCCAGCTAGTCCCCCTCACAGAGACTGGTAGCCGGCGGTCCTCTTCCTGCGGCTCAGCAGGTAGGCCACCACCACCACGATAATGAGCACCAGCAACACCACTCCCACCGCAATGGCAATGCGGTAATTGGGCTGGTCGGCAGGACAGTAGTTAGCTGGAAAAGACATGACACAGAAATTCACACATTTTAAACAACAAATGATTTATTTATTGCGACCAGGTCTGAAGTGGCGAGCAAGATGTTGTTAGCTCACAATGTCAACTGTAACTAAACCAATGAGCTCAGTATTGAATAGCCCCATTTAAATAGTGTCATTTTGGCAAACAACAGGTATGGAAGTCTGCATTATTTTTTTCCATTTTAGATGCCATTACAGAGCCATGTGGCAGCCAGATCCAAAGTTATACAAATGTTTGCTTCAGTATGCATCTTGCTGCATCCACGGCCCAGAATAGTGTGACACGTATGTTTGTTTATCTTTGTACACTACTCGTTACTTGGAGAAGTAATATTAATACAGGACCATGTTACTAGTACCGCGCTACGGCCCAGCGCTGTTGTCCAATAATTTATTTTACAAGTACACGATGTGTGCAGTTTTGCACATACAGTGGCTTCAGGAAGTATTCTGACCCCTTCACTGTTTGCACACTATACAGTGTTGGAGAGCTCATTTAAAATGGAACAGTCTCCACTCAATAAACCACAATGCCAAAGTGGAAACTTCTTTTTAGGCTCTTTTGTGAATATAGACTGCAGACTGAATTGGAATTGTCTGTGAGCTGCCATCTTTAGGTCTCTCCACAGATGTTCTATGAGTTTAATTCTGGGCTTTGGCTGAAACACTCGGGGACAGTCAGAGGCTTGTCTTGATGACACTGCAGTGTTGTCTGCTGTATGCTTCAGGTCATAAATGCATTGCTGTAATAGAAAACCCTCAATGCAACAACTCATGTACATTATAATATATAATATTATGGCACACTGAAAATAACTACTGTACACTAACAAGTGGTATATGTTAAATGTATTGATAAAATGCTCCTGGATTCATTTTGCTTCATGAGGACACTTACGAGAGCCAAAGTCGCCACTCTTGGTCAGATTGAAAGCCTGCATCCTGTCTTGAGTGACATCCAGGTACATTCCCTCCCCCATGTGAATGGAGTCACTCTTGCAGGAGTAGCATTGTCCAATCTTTGCGGCAAAGAGATGCAGTGTCGCGTTGTGGGCACTATACATCTTCTTCTCTGTAACAGTCAAACAAGGCAGTGCTCAGCTCCATAATGACAATTCTTGTAAAAAAAAAACCAAAAAACAAATGCTGATGATCAGATATGGAACCAAAACACGTTAGACTGCATTGTAGTGAAAATAGGCCAGTTGTTACAGGCATCATGTGCTCAACAGTAATTCCACACATTCTGTCTATACACAGTTGAATGCGCAAACATTCCTGGTGGGGACTTTACGTTGGCATACATTCACCTCCGTGAGACTTACCCTGACCTTAGCCATAACCACTACTTGTGCCTAATCCTAATCCTAAACCTCCCTAAAATGCCTGTACCATCATCGGGACATGTTCAGGGTATTTATCTTTTATTCGCTCATGAGCTGCATTCATGTGTATTTTGGCAGACTAATTATTGTGCATGGAGTTAAGTGTCAGATCTGTGATTGTGTGGAAAGTTGGTATGGGAGGCTGCTGAACTGAATGAGCTATGGATATGCTGTTCAAAGACGATGTGCACGCTGAGCTCACTCCGAGTGGTGCAGGGGTCACATTATTATAAGAAAATACACCATGTTGACAAAATGGCCTACAGTACGTCGTTAAATGAGAAAATACAGTATGTCGTAATAACATGAAAAACGTTTAACGTGAAAGTATCTCATATAAATGAGCAAAGTATCTTGTTATAATGAGAAAAGTTGCTCATTAAAGCAAGATTTTGCTGCCATAGGCAGTTCTTGTGTGAACTATGAAATATAATCCTGCAGGTGCCACTGGTTAAGACAAACTGGAGGTGGATGACAGACTGTGGGCAACGCTGAAATGATCATTTTGCTGCAGGTTTATGCTTGTTTAGTGGTTGTTTTGATAGATTACTCAAACTTTTTACTGGCAGAGGTGTTATTACACGTACAGTAACAAGCTCAGGTGTTCGAGTAATGTTTCACTTCACCAGATGCGAGCCAAAAAGCTGGCACTGTAGAGGGCTTATAACAAGACAAAATGCAACCATTGTTACAGAACAGAATATAGCATCATAATATTTTTATCTAATTTATTTTGTTTTTGTAACCCCTGGAAGCCAAAATCCTAAGTGAAAAATAAAATTTGATTAATCATCCAGCCCGACCTAAACCAAGTCTTAACCTTCAGCAGCCCTTTGAAGCGACGTGAGAAAGCGAGGACCAGTCAAGATGATGCTGCCCCAGAGGACCTAGCACTGAACCTGGGCCAACAGAGCTTGTGCCATTGCTCCCCCCACCCCCAGCACTCAGAAATGGCCCCACACTAAGCACTTCCAAAACAGCAGTCAAGGCCCACCTTTTCAAAGTTGCTTTTAACCTGTAATTTCTACCATCCACCCTTTCTCCTTTTGCATTTTATTACCTTCATCTACTTTGTCCTTTTAAATCTTAAGCTTTGCTTTTTTATATTATTGCTGGTGTTTGTTGCTTTCTTTATTGTGCAACGCATTTCTGAGGTCCATGAAAAGCCCTATGTAATTAAACGTATTGTCATCATTAGAATATTCCCAAAATGTCTTCACTTCCACAGTATAAAATTCAGACCGGTCCTCACACTACAATACCCACCTGTGAACATACAGTGACCCAAATAGAAGGGTCTAAAGTGTGATAACATGGGAGTAAATCATATGTAGAGACTGGAATAAAACATGAAGATTCTTAACTTACCTCCTTTGCTGAAGGCGTAGAAGAGGTTAAAAGACAAGTTATAAACGTAGACAGTATTATCAGCAATGCTCTGAGGAAACAAGAAAACAAGACAGCTTTTCACCAAGGCTGTTATCCAGTGGTCCAAGATAGGGTGCTATGTGCAGCTATTTAAATCATTACTGTAATCAAATGCAACGTTTGGTTTGAATTTCAATGAACAAACAGGACTGTGACAGTGAATATTAAAAGGCTCTAAACCCTATTGAATGTGAAGGGAAAGGGAAAGTTACTAGATTCCTGTA